GTAACCGACTCCCTTACCCAACTCTGGTTGTAATGGCCAAGGTTGATTTGCAAAAATCAATTGCCTTATCCCTTTTTCCAATGTTTTGAGTAAAACATTGGTGGCGACTCCAAGAACCTTTCTTTGCGAAAACCACTAATCCATGGAGGGTCCCGCTTGGGATTAACATGGATTGGTGAATCATTTAATAAAATTGTTAGTTCGATGAGGTCTCAGTTTGAGAATAAGTCGTTCTAACAATCCACCACTTTTCAAAATTTAAAAAGAGTCCGACCATCGTCGCGAATGCCAAGGTCCGTTTCGGCGGGTGGCGACAGGTCCGTCACCATCTTGCCTCTTAGGCTTTGAGGGCTTATTGTCCTCATGGACTTTCGTCTTGCTAGTTTCACCACCTACTACTAGCTTCTTTAGCAACTTTCTTATTGTTTCATTATTTTTTTTTTCATTTTTTATTTCCTTTTTTCTAATATAGTCCCTAAGTTCTCTATGTTCATCTTTAGTACTCCTATGACTTATAGGAGAATGATGACCATGCACACTATTATCATAAGAATGATCACTCATTTTTGCGGGAAGAAGTTTTCACAAGTTTTTAAAATGAATTGCAAAAATAGAGTGATAAAAATTTTCACAAAAGTTTTTCTTTTTGGTGCAAGACTAAGTACTTGGAGGTCTAAGTATACAAGTTGTACTATCAAGGAAGGTGAGCTACAAGGAGCCACTTAACAACCAAGCCTTTTCAAGTAGAAAGTACTAACCCCCCTTATACTTGTCTCACAAAGTCAAGTAAATTTATGAGTGTGTGTACGAAATCCCTAGTATGAAAATGAAGCCTTCTAACGAACTTGGAACGTCCCTTATACAATTTGAAAGTAAGCTAACAAAGGAAAGAAAGTATAGCATATACTAATCGGATTCCCTAGGGTAGAAGTCCAAGTGACAGTAAGAGTCCCTTAGACCACTTCCACAAGTGCTAAACATTCTATGAAAGCAATTAAACTAGACAAATCCTAGTGGAACCCCAAATGACACTTAGAGCCCTTTGGGACACTTCCACAAGTACGAAGTGATTACTAATCTTTATTTAAAACTATTTAGGAAGTGGTGGGATAAATCAAAGGTTTTCCCAAAATAACCACTCCTAAATGTAAGTATGAGTTAGAAAAAGAAAGCAAGAGATTCAAAGTTTAGTGGGAAAACACATAG